GTGCTGTTTATGGAGAAAGTTATATATTATACAAGGTATGATATTGTTATGACGGAGTTATGACGTGTAATCGTGTTTTTTGGACTCGAATTTTTCAAATATCAAAAGAATGCTTCAAGCGAGCTTTGCTTCTGTTCCAGAACTTACCAGAGAGAACTGCATGCGGAAGAATAATTTTAACATTGCGGAGCCGTGATCAATTCGTTCGTGGCGCTGATATAACTTTTATAGAAGCCGGTCAAGGCCAAACTGAATTAACTTGTCGTTAAAAACAAGTTGAAGGTTGGACACAGGTTAAAATGTGCAGAACGATTCCACTCTTTTTTATTTACTGTCTGTCAGAAAAATTTTGTATTCAGTGAGTGGGCTCATTCTCGAAAACACTGGACACGTGTTTTGACAAAAAAATTGATATCTCGATTTGTTTTGCAAAAAGAGCAGAAATTTCTACTGTTGGCTGATCTAATGACCCTCTGATACGACGGTTCAGTATACAGAATGAAGAACCTGTCATATGGTTAACAACACGTGAATTTCAACAGCACTTCCGTGCGCCTAAAGCTGTTTGGCCTTCAATCTCATCGTTGTTAATGAAAGCATTTGGACCAACGATTTATTGTAGTTTATTGTCATCGGCTCTAGGTCCAATGGAATCCATAATGGGACTTTCGGTGCACCGTCTTTTGAGAGCCTTTCTTCCCGCTTTGTAGTCACATAGCTCCGTTGAGGTCTGGTAGTGTAATACCATGAAGTGTTCAGCAACGAAATTCTGCTAACCGAACGAGCAGGGTCCGTTCGAGCGCAGTACCCATACATGGAGTAAAATATCTGCATACGTAGAACAAAAAATCTTGGTACTATGGAATGCAAAATAGCTGTAATCACTTGAAAAAAAAAGAGGAAGACACTATAAGACCAGATTCCAGATACTACATAAACTATGCTCCGATTGCAACAATTCTGAGCACCTTGTTAAAAAAAAGTCCAAACCGTCAAGTGCTAGAAGAGGTGAAGCCGAGTGGTAGAAAACAGTCATTATGATAGACTCAACAATACTATGAACTTACTGTCTGTTGTGATGAAAATCATCAAGCGGATAGCATTCTAAACCCTGATAAAAATGAATAACGAAGTGGATGTGCTGATCTTCAAAAGATACCTCAAATAGCTAACAGACGAAATCGATGCAAGCAATAATGAAAAAAAAAACAATGTGTAGGTCGCAGTATCCAATGAAATGCTGTACGTTTTCCAATCTAGACTAACTGGGGCGAAAAAGCACAAGCCTCCATAAAATATCGAATATGATTATAAAACCTTGTCAAAGGAAGCACTCCAACAACAATACACAGACTTTCCAGGATGATCAATAAACGAGTAAAATCAAAACCTGCGTGTCCCACGAGAAAACCATTCGTTTATGAAGTGCAGAAACTTGATTAAGTCTTGATAAGGAAATAATGTTGCTAAAAAAGAATAGGTGGAATTGTTTTCCGAACGAGTTAGACTAGCAGCCAGCACTGGAAAGCTCACTGTTCACGGAGCACATGGCCACATGGTATTTGCTTATGTTTTTCCATATCAAATAC